TATTCTCCTTATGTGTGTGCTGCAACCAGATTTAATAATCAGTTAGGATTTTAAAACTCCTGTAGTGTGAGCCCAGCTTAAGGGGGGAAACGCGCCAGGTTCCGAAACAATGGGCCAGGTGTGAAAGCACCCTTAAGTTCATGCATACTGATCTAATGATTATATCTTAAATATCTTAAAGAGGGCATCATGGGCTTTTAGGTGATACCACATCAGTATATGATAATCATGTAGCTTCATAATAACAATTTTAAAAAATGAAATACGGTAATACGTGCCTCATGCTGTAATGGTCTAAAATGTAAATGATCGGTTTGTGTCTCAGGAGTAGCTATCAAAAAATTCCCAATAAAGCATTTGCCATGTTTGTAATGGTCACACTTTTCTCACGCTCTGCATCCCTGGCTTTTTCCCCCGCCACACTGTGGTTCAGCGTGTGTTATAATTACAGGCTCTCTATCAGTCTTCTCTTACCAGCCTCGGATTATAGACAGGAAACTGCAGCATCTTCCTGCTACAAATGTGAAGTTTTGTCTTTAATGCTTAACAACATGGAAACAAAGTCCAGGAATTTCTAGAGGATTGTTAGTTTTGCTTTGTTATAGAAGTAATACGTCGCATTTGACAGTTGTATACCGGCATCATCATGAGCTCGATATGTACGAGTTACAGTAGCGGAGAAAGGGGTTTTGTGAAGAGCTTCTCCTGTCCCACAGCGGACAGTAACGCTCGAGCTGTTTTCTGCTGTGGATTTAATGATATGAAATACTGCTGTGATGATCCCAACAGCTTTTTCCCTTATGAATATGGATATATGTGGTGGCTCAGGTAAATTTCGACATTTCGATCATTTTGCCCTTTTCTTTTCTTGACGCAAGTTAAAATAGTCCATTCATAAATATGGGTGGCTATATTAGTACAGCAGTTATTAATGATTTTTACACTGCTTAATCAGCTTCCAATACTCGACACTGAACTAGTCTATTTAATATTTAGGCTAGTGTATACAGAGAAAGTCTCTTGATTTGTTAAACGTCCTGAATCAATTTAATAATAGGTTATAAAACAGTATTCAAAGATTTTTTATTTTTAGTGGACGCTGCTTCAAATAAATAATCGTATGAAGACAATACATTTTATTATTATAGCCTACATGTAATACATCATATTATTGCTGCATTTACAGTAGAACAAATCATGATTTTTTTTTTTGGTCCAGGGGATTCGAACCTGCAAACTTAAGGTGACAAGCTCAGAGGTTTTACAATCTGACTGAAATTTTGTTAAAACTGAACAAAATGAGTAGGAAAATCATTATTAAAATCACATCAAGAAGTCTCTTTTGAGATCTGTTGTCCAAAAAAGTGGACTTGAGATTTAGTTACAAATGTGAGAAATGTAAGCACATTTTCATATTTTTCAATCTAATATTAATATATTAGAACAGTTATGTCTATTGGAATAAACTCTGGATCAATGAATTAACTGACTCAACAATATTTAGGCTTAAATCTAAGATTTTTCGTTTTCGAATTAGATTTTTTTGCATGTTTTTGGATTACACCGTTTTAACATAAACTTGCTGCGGGTTACACTTTATTTTTAAGGTGTCATTGTTACAGTGTAGCCTAATTATACATTTAAGTACCGAGTAATAATAATTAACTACATGTACGGTTAGGGTTTGGCTTAGGGTTACTTGCATGTAATTATGCATAATTAATTGTTTTTATAATAGTATACATGTAACATGTGTAGGACACCTTAAAATAGTAAAGTACCATTTCCATTGTAACACAATGTTGAATGTCAAAGCAGTTTTCACAGGTGAAACTGAAGTATTAAAGCTTTCAAATAATGCCTAATTCATGTGTATTACTAAAATATGTGGTAGAGAAAAAAGCAATAAATGTAGAGTGCGCCAAGCGTCCTGCTATGCTCTCATCAGTGGTTTGTCGATTGTCTCTTCAGTTTTGGAGCTCTGCTTGGTCTCTCCATAGCAGCTGTGGTCCTGTTGGTCTTCGTCATCACCGTGTGTGTCCTCTGCTACCTCTTCATTGTCACCAAACCCAGTCGCAGGGACAACGGCCTCAACCTTAGCGTGCCAGGTCAAAACATCCATATCTACAGAAGCACTGAGTAATAATGAATGAAACAGGAACAATGGCATTAATGTGACACACCGTGCCATAATGGATCTATGAATGGCAAAATCACTGAAAAGGATATAGTGACACATGCTGGATGTTAGATTATACATGATCTCCCTCCATCTCAATGTACTGCTGAATCAGTGTATGTAAAGGTGGATGTCCTTTACAGATATGTGATTAAGCTGTGATTGCAGTCATGACATTGTATTTCTAAGGAATATGCTCTGGCCATCATTTTATAAAAGCACTTAAAAGCACTTTTTATTGTATTGTGTTTGCACTGTAAAACAGTGTAAATCATCATTTTATGGTTTTAGGGTGTATGTCATTTCATTGGCATGCCAACAAAGTTGTACATTTGGATAAAACATTACACAGAAAAGGTTAGTAAGTGATTTTGACACACTAAAATCTATTTGACACATATCGTTTATGTTTTACATTTACATTACATTTACATTTAGTCATTTTGCCGACGCTTTTATCCAAAGCGACTTACAATTGGGGAATACATAAAGCGATTCTTTTTAAAGAGGCAAACAGACACAGGAAGTGCTTGAAATACCAAGTTTTAGGCATTGTTCAAATAAGTACAAGCTAGAAAAGGGAAGGAATAAATAAAGAGAAAGAATTTTATTATTTTATTTTTTTTTAAGATGAAGTCAAGTAGCGTTTAAAGAGATGAGTTTTCAGCTGTCGCTTGAAAATTGTCAGGGATTCAGCATTCCGGATAGGGGTGGGAAGATCATTCCACCAGCCAGGAACGGTGAACGAGAATGTTCTGGAAAGTGATTTTGAGCCTCTCTGTGATGGTACCACGAGGCGTCGCTCACTAGCGGATCTCAGACTTCATTAGAACTCAGTTAATCAAAAATTTAATTTGTGTACATTGTATTTAAACATGAAAGTAAAATGAATGCGTTGAAAGTTTACATTTAGCCTTGTTTCTCAACTTTTTGGTACAATACATTTATGTAGATTTTTTTTTATTATGTTACAGAAATAGCACAATTTTGAAAATTGTGTCGTGACCTCATCTCTCCTACTTCTCTGAATTCAATTGAATTCAGTATTTTGCATGCTGATACACAAAGTGAAGAATCCTGAAAGAAGAATAATTTACACTTTAGTTTGGGGACCAATTTTCACTATTAACTAACTATTAACTATGACTTTTGACTCAATAAACTTCGAATTTGCTGCTTATTAGTAAGATAGTTGTTAAGTTTAGGTATGAGGGAGGATTAAGGGATCTAAAATATGGTCATGCAGAATAAGGCATTAATATGTGCTTTATAAATACTACTACTTAAAGGTGGGGTAAGCGATTTCTGGTAGCCAATGTTAACATTTGAAATCACCAAAACAAACACGCCCCTACCCCAAAAGGGTCGCGCCCCTATTTTGATAGCTCCGTCCCACACATACGTAATACGTACGCAACCCAGGCAACGATTAGATCTGTGAAAGAAAGCAAAACCAATGTTACACCGTGTCTACACCGGACGCGAGTGGCACGGCGCGACAAAATACTATAGAACTCATTATAATCAGTGATCTACACCAGTGTTTCCCAACCGGGGTGCCGCGGCGCTCTGCGTATTATCCCACTCTATGCGTGTGCGCTCCACTCAGCTCCACTCAGCTCCACTCGTATACCGTTCATGCGAATCGGAACAGCAAAGTCCACTCAAACATTGAGCCGACAGGAAACATCGATGTAGTACAGTATTGTTTCTGTCTGCAATAGCCCTACTGTGTTGTAACATGGTGTGGTATATGGGCAACTCTGGTAACGCTGCCCTCTCATTCATTGATCTGCTAACCGCTATGTTATGCTCGCGTGTTCTGATAATAATTGCCTTAAGCCTTCTTTTGTTCCGCAGACGTTTTCCTCTTTTGTTTTTTATCCGCCATCTCTATCTTTCTGTCGCTCGGCTCGCTAATGTCCATCTTGTGCACTGAACACTCTCTCCTCCACATCATGAGTAGACACGCCCCTTACTGCTGATTGGCTACAAGTGTGTTTTGCTAGTCGGCCCGAATTAGTTTTCTAAAGCGTTTTTGGAAAATCGCTTACCCCACCTTTAATAATAATTGTGCATATTAACATGCTTAAAAGAAGCTTGTGTTTGTAATGGGGCCAATTACTGGTCAGATTAGCTTTTTAAAGATGACTTGCTGTCATGTACTCACATTAGTGTTTGATGCTTGAAAGCCTCCCACTACACTCTGGCCTTTCAATGAACGCTTGATTCACACAGTCATCTGTTGTGATGTGACCTCACAGTTTCCAGATCATGGAATCTATTTTACTGAAGCACGTTGTGAGGGAATGAGAAATGCAGAAACATAGTAATATAAAAACCTAACTGACACTACCATAAATTAATTAAAACAGAAGAAAATGTCCTTTTCATTCACACTAGAGCTGTGGTTATTGTTAAATAAAATATTGCACATTATTATTATTATTAACATTAAACAACTTAAATTGACCTTATTCAATTGACAATGTTTAATGAAAAGGGGTTTAATAATGCATTCTTGAATGAATGAATGAATGAATGAATGAATGAATGAAGTCCCATATTTGACACTATTATTCAATAATTCCATGAATTAGATGTGCATTACAAAAATTTGAGTGAAATCATTCAATTTGAATTCAGACTGTTGCCATATTCAGTTATGGCAATTAAATATGTAAGTATTCAAATGCCTGTATGTAAGTCAGAGAATATATTTACCTTCCAATGGGACCCAAAACTGTTTGGTAACCCACATTCTTCAAAATATTTTCTTTTGTGTTCAGCAGAAGAAAGAAATTCAGACAGGTTTGGAATGACATGAGGGTGAGTAAATGATGACAGAATTTTCTTTTTCTGTAACTAACATGCAGTTAAGCATCAGAAAGCATTATATTCAGTTTGCAGTATATTAATTTAAAGGTGACATATCATGAAAATCGAGAGACTTATATTACATATTGTAAAAAGGGGCATAATATGTCTCCTTTAAAGGTGCTGTATGTAGGATTGACACCGAGAGGTTGAACTAGGTATTGCAGGCCAAATTCAAAATATTGTAGAGGGTTTTTTTTACCCGGCCCCTCCTCCTCAGACTTGACGCACACGCAGGTTGCCAGATTGAAGACACCAACAGGAACAAGTGCACTTGACGATGAATGAAATGAAATATGCTGTCTTTCCCGCCAGCTGGCAACCCTTGGTGACGAAATACAATTGGATAAACTGGCAGTGGGCGGGGTTTCACAAACCAAAACAGAGCTCGACATTCCGGCTCGGAACGCACATTTTCAAAGGAGAATAACTGACTGTAGCTTTATTTTTCAGATAATCAAATATGTTAACTTAGCATGTTTCTTAAATATCTGCAAACATATTATGGTATTTTTATGCTTTAGTAGAGTCAAAAACTTACATACAGCACCTTTAAACATGAGACACACTTTACTCCTAGACCAAGATTTCATTCACTTGTCATTGCAAATGTGCAAATCTCCCTGGATGTAGATAAGGTTACACTATATTACAAGTTGAGTTACAACAGAAGCTCTTTTTAGCAACTTGTGAGGTAAACTGGATTAATTTCAGCCAAATAAATATATGAAGCCTATTTATTACAAGAGTTTGAAGCCTTAGTCTTGTTATGACAGTTGGAAATGGAATACGCCGCAATCAAACCCATAATGTTGAGCCAGAAGTCAGTCAGTTCAACATTCCAACACGTTTTTTGACACGTCACTTCCTGTTTGTTGCTGCCGTGTGTTTTGAGTTTGAGCTCCGTCAAGTTAATTCTTTGTCGTCTAATTTTTTATCTTAAAATCAATTTTATACACCATCATTTTCGTTTCTATAACGTGTGAATATATCCCCTATCGTATTCTACAACAAAAACAATCAGAGCGCCTTGTTATCACTAGTTTTATTTTGATTTCCCGAGTCCGCTATTAGCAAATAGCCCGCTAGCATCGCCAGCGTGGTTGCCGCTAATCTCGCTTACATTACTAATACTCTATTCACACAAATTACCATTGTTTTACTCACTGTTACCTGCTTTAATGGCGGATGTGTGTCTACCTTTGAGTACAGGTGAGGACACGTTCAAGCTGCATTCAGTGCAGCTCGAGCTGGAGGCCGTGGAGAAGCAGATCCGCGACCTGGTGGAGAGGCAGACCCAGCTGAAAGAGCAGAGAGCCGCGCTGGAATCATCCCAGGCTGACGCTCACAAGACCGAGGTAAGTATACAGCGCGCTGCTAATTCTCCCACCACCTCTACTCCGTGTGTTTCTCTGCACAGGCCCGGTGCACCCAGGACGCGATCTTCCCAGATGTCCTTCACTCCGGCGCCGGGACACCACGGACCCTGGGTGCAGCCGCAGCGGAAGACGCGAGCCAGGCCCCGGGCGATTGAATATGGATATTTTTCTTACAAAAACGCATCGATTCGCTACAGGAGGCCTTTGTTTGTCCAACTGGCAACCCGGGGTGCCGAAATACAATTGGGTAAATTGGCAGTGGGCGGGTTTCACAAACCAAAACAGAGCTCGACATTCCGGCTCGGAACGCACATTTTCAAAGGAGAATAACTGACTGTAGCTTTATTTTTCAGATAATCAAATATGTTAACTTAGCATGTTTCTTAAATATCTGCAAACATATTATGGTATTTTTATGCTTTAGTAGAGTCAAAAACTTACATACAGCACCTTTAAAGTATAGGCGTATTATTCCTTTTTTTTAAAGTGCACTCCTTTTTCACAAAGGAAGGGAAGATGTTGCACAGGGTGAAACAAAACAGTTCATAAACTGTATTTAAATGTCCAGTGCGGATCTGCTGATACCTGCAAAGACACAAGGAAATGAGTTAACAGGTAATAAAAATTACCGATTAACCCAGATGAAGAGTTACACCTCTTTCAACCTTTGCTCAAGATGCTTCCATTGTGATGCACTCCGCACTGTAAACATGAAAATCAAAAAATAATAAAAAACACAAAATATTGGATTGTACCAAGCAACAGGTATGTATAAAAATATTACTGTTTATTTTACTGTTATTTCAGTGGATTTTGACTATATGATAATGCATTTCTCTTTTCAACTGATCAAATGAGAGTCATATGACTGTTGCATTGCTTTACATTGCTCACCACATCCTTGTATTTAAGCCTTAATACTAGATATGTTAAGATGACATAACATTATTATCGAGTAAGGTTTTGTATACTCTGTGTCTCAAAAGGACTGTTATTAATGTACGTCCACCATGCTGTTGCTTAACTGACCTATTTATTAACAAAATGTATTGCTATGACTTTCATGTTAGTCCATACCAGGAAACTATTAGCTTTTTAAGCAATATGACAGGACTGTGATATGATTTACAGATGGAAAAAAATAAAATCATAAAAATATTCTCTCTTATAGACAGGCCATCATGCGAAACATACACCACAGAGTTAATATGGTTCTGATCGCATATTTGGTTATGGCAATGTCTGCACATGCATATCCGACTCCTCAAGAAAACCAATCAACTGCTTCATCAGAACTTCCAATGAATAGTACTTCAGATGGACAAAATGGTTAGTGCATCAATCTAATGTCCATTAGCATATATTAAATATCTTTTGATTATTAAGTGAAAGCTGATGTGAACATGATCTAATTAATCACTTTAGTCATATCAAACATAAATCATGCATTACTTTATTTAAATTCACTTATTATTTTTACACATTTGCGTGTCACATATATGGAACCTGTCCATAGAGATTTTTTTTTTGTACTTGTATATTTGTTTTGAAAGATGTATTGAATCTGGAACATTATTTTAAATATACTGCTCTAAAACAATAATAGATGGGCAATCATTTCTCTATTCCAGTATATATTTTGGTTTTGAGTTATAGAGACACAGGCTACTACTTTTTGTATTTTCATCAAAGACAATAAGCATTATTCATTTACTATAATCACTTTTGCCATCCTCAGACTCACCGGGAACAGCTGAAGCCCACTCCGCCTGGCCCATTGTGCTCGGTGTGTTTACAGCGGTGCTTTCCATCGGCCTCCTGATAGCACTGGCCGTGAGGTACCGCTTCTTCCGATGGTGCCTGACCAGAAACAGTCCCGCTTTATTACTGGAGGGAGAAACGGCCAGTCAGTTCAGCCAAGCTGGAGATCTGGAGAGAGAGATCCCAGTGCATGGCATGAGGGGCAGAATGATCCGGAGGGGAGAAAGTTCAGATGATGATGATGATGATGATGGCTTCATCGAGGATAACTACATCCAGGCAAACGAGAGAGAGAAAGCAGAGGAAGAGGAAATCCAGCAGGAAGATACTGAAGACAGTGATGATGAACTGGTCATTCCAGACACTATATACGTGAACTGATTTTCTCCATTCACCGGATGTCCCCACTATGAGTATAAAGTCTGGAATCACTATGACAGTTTGGACATTTGTATTTAGATGATGTTCTCCTGAACGTTTGTTCATCAAAGATTGAACAAGTCTTTGAAGGAATATTCTGGTTTTAGTACAAGTTAAGTTCAATCTTCAGCATTTGGGGCATAATGTTTGTTACCACAAAAATGTATTTCGCATCTTTCTTCCTTTACTTAAAAGTAATCTGGGTTACAGAGGCACTTACAATGGAAATGAATGGGGCCAATCCATAAACATTAAAATACTCAACGCTTCAACTGTATAGCCACAAATTAATATGGATCAAGTTAACATGATTTAACTGGGGGAAAAAACTCAATAACCTTTCTGCTTATGCCTAACTGATGGTTAGATTTAGTGGTGTAGTTACTTTTCTCTCTTTTTTTTTTTTCCCAAAAATTGAAAAATTTTGTAAAAAATATGGTTTAAAACAACTTATTAAAAAAAAGTATAAACTTAACATTTCTTCTTTTAAATCCTCCAAAAATGCTGTTGATTGAGCTTAACTTGGATATGAACCCTGAATATTCATTTAAGATATTCAAGAGATAAATCAGTTTTTTTTTTTGCGCATACATTTGTTTCCTTATGATCACAGTTCACACAACAACTCAACACCTCAAACTTATGAAAATTAATCCATCCATAATAATTGTTAACCATACGATCTGTTCTTCTTATTTGCCAGTGTGCCTTTTTCTTTGAATATCGTTCTAAATGTCTAAAAGCCTGTCTTAAAAAAAAGTAACTTGCAATGTGTGTTCAGTACTCCAGCAAATGAAAAAAATACCACACTTATTAATTGAACAAACATGCTTATGTGCATATATTTCACTGCATAAAATTAGCACAACATTTTTTTTTAGTTTAGGTGAATTAATACAGTTATGAAGAGCTCATGACAGTTCACTACATTACACATATACCACTTACATTTAATGCAGCTGTATAAACTCTATCATAGATTTATTCAGCAAATTGTGCATACTCAATGCATTGGTCATTCAAAAGATATAGTGTAATAACTACTCTGGAATGTGTATAGAATTAACAGTTGCCAGTTTTTGGCGCCATCTGTAGACAGCTGTGTAGAACAACAGACTTCAAGTCAACAACTTCACTTCAAGTTAAGACAGTCTGACTTTGGAATAGCATACTATGCTTACTTTTTGCCACAGAAAAGTGCAAGTTGTATACCAGTGTGCCAGAAGTTTCTGTTCATTCATCAGATTGGAAATGCATGGTGAAGTTGAACGCACTGCATTCTGGGATATGGTATTCAAAGGAGTGAACTTTGTTGTACATGGCGCATTTTGGCAAATCCAGGTATTCAATTCAAGATAAATTTCCATATGGAATATTCCTACTTGATCATTTTGACTTCCAACTATAAGTTCCATCGCCTGGTGCTCATAAGACGACACGTAAAATGAGAAATGGCAATGCAAGCATTTGATTTGGAGGCATTTGATTGTCAATAAAGATGTCCTCTAGCCAAACTGCAGGTATAACAGGTGTAAAATGAACACCAATGAAGCTCCTTTATTGTGTTTTACACACCAGTATGTGCAAATAGGTCTTAAAGGGGTCATTGGTTGCAAAATTCACTTTACAAGTTGTTTGAACATAAATGTGTGTTGGAAGTGTGTGTACACAGCCATCCTATAATGATAAAAGTCCACCCAGTGTTTTCTTTAAATCGCTATTTTAAAATCACAATTCAGGCTGTTCTGAGATTCCTGTCAGAATGAAGTAGTTCTGCACAGGCCCCTCCCACGATGGTTGATTGACAAGGCCGTCTTCCATTAGACCCGCCCTGAGTGAGCTGTCATCAGTCCGCCATTGTGTCGACTCCGGTGCAGGGGAAGACAAGAACGTCTCCGATTAAGCGATTGAGGTGTTTTGTTGTTGGATGTAATAATGAATATAGCAGTCGTCATTTACTCCCGACATCTGAGCCGCTGAAGACGCAGAGGATTAAAGTTACTTTCGTTTTGAAGGGAATGCGTCGATCCCCGATCTGCCTAAATGCGTCTACGTTCGCGCGAATCATTCGTGATCCAGCTTCATCAACAGAAGGAGGGGCGTGGTCAGCAGAGCTCATTAGCATTTAAAGCAACATGGACTAGAACGGCGTGCTGAAAACAGAGCTGATTTTGACAGGGTAAAAAAGGTGTTTTTTTACACTACCATTGAGAAATTTTAACCAAAGTATGTTATAGTCTTTTCATTAAGACCCTAAAGAATCATATCAACTTGTGGAAAACGGGCATCCAATGACCCCTTTAATATCATGTAGGAAGCACAGCCAGATGGAATTCTCGATTCTTCTTTCACAACAAATTCGAATGACTGGAAGTTGAATCCCTCCATGGTCGGTTCCTTTGCCCCGTCACTGTATACACTCTCACCCTTCGTCGTCTTCGCCTTCTCGTGTTTCTCCTGCCCTGCACATAAACCATCACTCCATACGCCATCACACCTAGGACCACAGCGCCCCCACTGGCCAGGAGGGTCACACCAGAGAGCAGCATGTCCAGCTGAGTGAGACTGAGGAGCATAGTCCCACACACCACCAGTGCCAAACCAGTGAAGAGCAACAGCACGGGATCCACCGTTCCTCCACTGCGCAGCTGCTCGATGCGTCTGCGGCTGCGTATGCAGCCCATGTCTTGCACTGCAGAGCTGAGCAGCTGCTTCATGAGGACCAACAGTGCCAGGAGGCAGAGAGTGGAACCTACACCCAAGCGCCACAGCACCGAGGGCCCCGCGGTGGAGGAGGCGGTCGAGAGGAGCCCCACGCCGGCCGAGCCCAGGCTCAGAACCATGGCCACTGAAAAGCAGTAGCACAAGAGAGACACGTGCGGCTCGTTGAACCACCAAAGCTCCACCTGCTCCTCCACGGCTTGGCGCTGGAGCCACAAAGGGTCTGCTTGCAGACGAAGGGGAGCTCTGGGACTCATCACACTCAGGGGGAGAAGCTCCATCTCCAGGGTCTCTCAGATGCTGCAGTCGTCTGGTGTGTGTATTGTCTCAAAACTACGTGGTAAATCAACACATTTTAAAATTAATAACACTTTATAAAAAGGTTCAATGCATTAACATTAGTTATGGTACCATCTAAATTTACTGGTTCTCTTCAAATTAAAAAAATATTTAGCATCACTATATCAACCTAAATTAAAAACAAAACTAATTCTTATGGGTTAAATCATGTAAAAATTGCACTTTAAGGAAACAGTTGCAGGTTAGGTTACACTTTTTACAGTGCCAGCATGATGAACTAACAATGAACAACATGTTTACAAGATTAATCTAGAATAACGTTAATTTACAAGTATTAATTCTTGTTGTTTTTTTGTAATACATCAACTAATGTTAATTTATGCATGTTTAAATGTTAAAACGTATATGTAGAAATTAACATTAAAAATGCTGTTAAAGTATTATTTATTGTTCTTTCATGTTAGCTACTGCATATTCTATTCATGTCAAAGGCAAATGGCACATGCATTCCTCAAGAAGTATACAAATTGCATGCTGCCATCTTTGCTTTACAGGCTCTCATTTATTTGAACCAATCAACTGAGCCACAGATGCCATGTGACTGATCACTTTTCGTATTTGAGTTCATATTTGAACTCTTCACAGCAGACAAAACAAAACTAGTACAAAGAAAAAACAAACATCACAAATAAAACAAAACCATAATACTTTGTTCTTTTGAATGGTTGTCACGAAAACAAGGACCATGTTTGAAATGGAATACTCTGGAATTGAATAATCTACAGTATGTGTATATTAGCTTACACTTTACAAATAGTAGGCCTAAGTAAATCAGTATGCATATTTACATGTTTAACATTTTAAACAATAGTATGCTACATTGTTGTCAAATGACTTTTTTAATTTACAGAGTGGCATCCAGTTATCATTTTGGAAATAAAAAATAGTTGAATTTAAAATTTTGTGTAAAAATATCTGAAAAAGAAACACTGGCAAAAAAGGGTGATATGCATTTTAACATTTACATTTAAAAAAATATATATAATTAATACGAACAAATAAAAATTCAAATTGCAAATATGTATTTTTCACTACACATTGTCAACAACCTGTCAGTAATAAAACTGACTTTTCCAAACTTTAAGTACTCAAAATTTGCTGTATTTTAAGACATATAGCACTGAAATTAATAACTTGCAGTTCATTAACGGAGTCAGATGATTCAGTAACTACTTTGATTAAGTGCAGGATTCATCAGACTGATTTCATCATAGAAAATCCAATAAAAGCTTCATAGTTATCATCACATTTGCATAAAGTAGTTATAACTAATGAAAGTAGTTGCAACTAATACAATTTCCTCACCTTTCGTCAGTGCATGTTTCTGATCCTTGATTCAGACTCTAACTTTTAAATCATGAAATTTCCACAAACGTGATCATGTGTCCTGAACAGCAGTCATTCGTTCCTGTGGAAAAGATGGTCCCGATTTAAAAAGATACATTTTAGTAAGTTTAATTTTAAGAAACACACCATCCTACCATCCTCAAACTCCTTTATCTTGGCAGTAGTGCAGGACTGTTTACTGTCACGTCTCTCTTTCTTTCTGTCTTTCTGTTTACCTGTCTCTCTCATGCTGTGGTGTGTCATGGTGCAAGCCGACTGGACACTGGTGCCAAGCACTCGGGACGATGACATACTCCCCTGTTGTCTTCTCCTGCCACATTCCACAAGGACAATAAAAGGTTTCTCATTGTCTTCTTTGTGACACTAAACAGCATGTCCGCAAACGGAGAACACGCACAAACGCTCACTCTCACACATGTGCACGCCTAGCAGGCAGAATGACTGACACAGAAAAGCAAGGATGTCTTTCAAGGCATTGTGGGAAAAACAATAGGCCAACTGGAGGGACTTACAGAGGGACATCCCACCAAGTG